TCACTAAAGCAGTAGCCACTATAGTAGCAGGACTGGTTGGACATCACAGGTCTAAATTTGTACAGATGTTAGGGATGTTAAAATATTGGTTAATTGAATAGCAGATTAACCTCATGAATTCTTATCAGTTACTTGATTAGTCTATCGTCCTCGGGGGCAGGGCCAGCAACCAATGCAGTCTGGCCTCACTCTTGAGGAGCCCCCTAAAGCAGTAGCCACTATAGTAGCAGGACTGGTTGGACATCACAGGTCTAAATTTGTACAGATGTTAGGGATGTTAAAATATTGGTTAATTGAATAGCAGATTAACCTCATGAATTCTTATCAGTTACTTGATTAGTCTATCGTCCTCGGGGGCAGGGCCAGCAACCAATGCAGTCTGGCCTCACTCTTGAGGAGCCCCCTACCACTCCGTATCAGAGGCAGCAGTGTGGGGTGAGGGGAGCCAGTTTAAAAACCAGCTCCCCTCATGGACCGGTTGCCTGTCGCTGTGCTGCTGCCTCTAATACAGAGGCAGGAGGGCAGGATAGCAGCAGCCCCTTTCCAGGTGAGGGGTCTGAGCTTCCAGATCTGGTGTGAGCTGGAACTGAGCTGGACTACCTTCCCGCCTGACTACTAACATATTTTAAATGCAGAGCCACAGCAGGGGTAGGTCTCAGAAGTGGTGCAAGCCAGGACTGAGCCGAGCTGCCTGCCCACCTGGCTCCTAATGCACTTTAAATGCAGAGCCACAGTAGGGGTAGGTCCCAGACCTGGTTCAAGCTGGAACTGAGCCATGCTGCTGGCCATACTTCTAAAAAATGTACTGGCAAATGGGGGGGAGAGAGGGAAGGAATGCGTGTAGTCTATAGCATTAACCTATAAGCTTTTGCTTATTGGTTAATCAACCACATTATTACATCCTGAACAGATGTAATATTTTCTAACATTCAACAGCAGCCTTAATTAAATGCTACATTCATTAATTACAAATACAAGCATGGCAAAAACAAATGCTTTATACCTCTTCTTTAAGGATGGATGCTCCCTCAGATTTCAGAATTTCAGTGGAGGTTTTGCTTTCCATTTTCAGGGACGTCTCTTGCACCTCCTGCACAAAGGCCACACTACTACAAAACAGAGAATCAGTATTTACCTTCAGAGTAAAAGTCAAACCATTCAGCCATGCAGTCTGAATTAGCAAATCATTCTCCAGAAGACCCCTCATCAACATTTGAGGTCAAACACAATCATCAGCACATAAACTTCAGGGACACTGCTGAGACAATGGGGCAGCTCCTCAGCTGATGCAAATTCTCATGGATGCACCAGCTGAGGAGTTGACCCATGCATTTTACAGGCCATGGATAGCAAGCTGCACCACTACTCTTGCCCCTTTTAAGTCACAATAATACTTTGTTCTCAATGCAAAGTCAAATCAATATTGCTACAGCTTGTGAACTGAGCTGGAGGACAAAGCAGGACACAAGTAAGGTTAAGCCTCCAGCAACAAAGAGAATTCAAAGTGAAAACCACTAGGGATATAAAATCCTGTTTACTTGGTTAACCAGCTAAATGTGATGTTTAACTGGCTAACCAATTAAAGGTAGGGCGGGGGCTCTGTACCTCCCCCCCAACAAGTTCTGGCCAGGCTGAAGCACCCGTCTGTCATAGGCCACACAGGGAGCTGCTCCAGCCCTGACAGGTGACTTGAAATTGGTAAATCGTTCACATTCCTAAAAAACACCACTGCTGAGATAGTAGAGCTGAAAAAAATCATTTGAGTCATTAAGTTCCTTTCCAAGTCAAGAGTAGGGATGTAAGTGACTAGTCCAACTACCCAATAAGCATATGCTTATCAAGTTGTTGAATAGTGACTGGACACCTCTGCCTCCTCCACTGTGGGCAGCTCTTGTACATCTCAAAGGCACAGTGGGATAGCAAGCTTATCAGCCAATCAACGGAAAGTCCATTGACTACTCGATTAGCTGATTAACTGAAATTTAATACCCCTACTCAAGAAACAATGTAGGATTAGCCATTTTCTACTTAACTTGTCTCGTCTTGTTCTAATGCAGATAACATGTTGGACAGCACAGTGATGCAATGCCAGGCTTTTTTACCAGTTAAATCTTGGGTTCAGGTCAGTGAAGTATGTTTAGTGCATTGTCTGCATCACAAAACTATTGTACAGTTCAGTACAGAAGTTGCTTTTCAAAGAAAGCCCAGGGTTACGACTCAAAAGAGACAACAGACAGCGCAAAGCAGAAGGAGTGGAGGGAACAATCCAGCATTGGCCATGAGGTGGAAGAGATCACCCAACAACAACTCTCAGTGAAGCCAATGGGAGTCTTCCCCCAAATTTTAGGGAGGGTTAGATAAAGCCCTATAGATTCTGTGATAACTAACAACCACCAAGGAGTGGGAAATTTGCACAGCACTGGCCTGCTGTATATCTGACTTATCTGGTGCTTTTAACCTCTTTAAGTGTTTAAAAATAGAGTGGATTTTATGAAAGTACTAGACAAGTGGCTATCATAGCTTTCTTGGGTATATGCACTTTGGCACATCTACCCTAGCACAGTTCTACAAAGACAAGATAGAGCCCATATTCTGGAGGCCAAAATACACAGCAATAACAAAAACGAATGTATTACAGGCTTAAATCTACAATCCATAATCAGGCCTCAGATCCTCACTGGTCTAATGAGGCCTGTGATAGGGTTTTCATGCCACTCCTCATCTGAAAGGGATAAGATAACCGACAAGGGGCTAACTAACAAATGTAATAGGCTGTGCTTGAGGAAGATTTAGGCTGGACAGGGAAGCGCTAATAGAAAATGAAGCTCAGTTGAGCAGATGTAGGCTGGGCCTATAGGAAGCCAGCAACACAGAAGAGAAGGGAGCTGAAGGGAAGTAGGATGCACTCTGTCCCTGAGAGTTGGGCCCCATAGTTGTACCAGAACACACACGAAAAGAGAAATAGGAAGGAGTATAGGAAAGTAGCAGTGGGGCCTAGAAGTAAGCAGGATGGTGAGATAGAGGACTATTGTGATGGAACCTGGAATAGTGGGTGTGCCTGTGATCACCTACTGACACATTGGCAGACTCTTAGAGAATGGCACAGAAAGGCAGCTGGACAGTTAGTCCAGAAACATTTTGTTACCCCCGGAAGAGGACTGAGTCACAAACAGAAGTTGCATGGAGTCCCGTAGAGTGAGTGGGGCCATTATGAGAGAGGGATGATGTCCGGGGACATCAGAGCCAGATGGAGCTAATCCCCAGAATAGCCAGGAAGACATGCCACATTAGCGGTGAATGTATCCTGTGACAGGGTCCTTCCCAGTTTAATGATGCTAAAGCATCATTTGCAAAACACTGACTTCAAAGTTATCATTAAGTTAGACCTGCAGCAAAGAGAAACAAGGAATATTTGCCACACAATAAGCCATAAAAGTTAAGCTTGAATGGTTAGTAATATAAGAATGCAAAATAGAAAATACCCTGTTTCACAACAGTTTCAAAAAAGGCAATGATAGCAGCATTGTATATGTAATCTCTCTAGCCAGGTCTGTCCCGGGATGTTAGAGACACAAGATGGGCGAGGTAATATCTCTTACTGAAACAAAACCTGTTGATGAGAGACAAGTTTTTGAACTTACACTGAGGTTTTGTTCCGGTCAGTGTCTCAGCTTCAGCAATTTTGATCTTTTCCACTAGCTGGTGCAATAATTCCAAGCGGCATTTAGACAAGGTCTTTGAAAGAAGTGTAAACCACATTCTGCAGATGGCATGGGACCAGGACTTTTTCGTATCAAAATACTGAAATATTATTTGGCTCACTGAAGGTTATGATTCATGCACTCAGTCATAATTTGAGAGCAACAACACAATTAAAGATTATTAACCAAAACTACAATGGAAAATAAGTTGGTCTAAAGCTGCATTGTAACAACCTGCATCAAATCTGCATATCAATCTATGAACACAGATCATTCCAAAGTCCTAGAGAAGGATGTTCTTTTGTACTGCCACCTACAACAGTGTGCAGTCCTGTATCAGAATCAGATGAAGTCCACTAATTTAATGCTTGATAGCTAGCTGTGTGATCCTAAAATCCTGAAGTCAGTGTTTTAAAAAACAGTGAATTCTGGTTTAGCTTGCATTCTCAGTCTAACAGCTTATATGTACTTGTAAATAGGGCAGTCCTGTCCAGCATCTTATGCATACTAATACAGGACCCTAAATCTGTCATGATATCTCTCCACTCATCTCTCCTGGGGCTCAATTCAGGCCTACTTATTGGAGGAGTAAATTTTGTCCCGCTGTATGTTCCACATTCTGATCAGACCTCTCTTGAAGGCAACCCCTTTTTCTCCCCAAACACACACACACAATTAGCTTTGCAATTGATGCTTGAAACAATTCGGAATTGAGCCAACTGAAGCTTACCAAAAGCTTAAAGGTTATCCTTATTGAAAGAGCATTGCAATAAGCTACCTGAGACATGATAAAAACATGGATAAGCTTCCCAAATTCAGTCTTCAAAAGGCATGATCTGGTCCCAGCCATGTTTCCCAATTGATAACAAATTTAACAGCTGCTTGAATATGCTGTTTGAAAACAAGCTCAGGACTAAACTAAACCTTCAGCTTTCTTACCACTCTAGGATGACTCAAAAATGCTCTTCGGGGATAATGTCAAGCAGTTTAACTACAGAATTTTACCTCCATCACATTGATGTGTACACTTGAGATGATTTCTCCTCCAGATTCTAAATATATTTTAAAATCCACTGGCCTGTCACCAATGGCAACTCCATTTGCACTACACCAATGTATTTGACTTTGCTGCTAAAAGAAGCTAGCACCCAAACTCCAACTTCATTTGTTGGGCTGTGCCAACCACACTAATGAAGCTAAGGGCTTGTCTGCACCTCTGCTGCTTAGCACTTAGTGAAGACACTACCTATGCTAATGGGATGCTTCTCCTGTCAGTGCAGAACATTCATTTCCCTGAGAGGCATCAGCTATGTCTGAGAGGAGGCTTCCTGTTAACATAGGACTGCCTACACTCAGCTCAGTATAACGACCATTGCTCAAGAGTGTAGGAAATCCATGTCTGAATGACGTACTTATAACAACACAAGTTGGTACCATAGAGAGTAGACCAAGCCTGAAAACGAACAAGAAAAACAGTGTACTAACTTGAGCTCTGAGAAAGGACATGAAAGTAACAGCCAAAAGGAAAAGAAATCAATGGCTGCCAAATATCAGGATGGTGAACAGTATTATTTTTTTGCTCTGATGTCTGATGGCCTACTCAGCTTTGCACAGGATATATAGGAATAAATGGTCCTGGCCTCATGGGGTTATGCTCCAATGGAAAGAAAAAAACAAAACAAAGAAACTGGCCAGACACTGCCATTATTATTACACCTAGAAAATGTACCCGGCATGGCTTGGGTCTTTAACTCAATTTTTGTTTTTCTTCATGTAAATCAGGGGTGGGGAACCTTTTTTGGATCAGGGGCTGCTGACCAAGAAAAATCAGTTGGGAGGAGGCTGGAGTGGCAGCACAGTGTCCCCAATGCTGGGAGGGAGGAGCCCCGAGGGCCAGATCCAGGCAAGCCAAGGACCGCATCTGGCTCATGGGCCTTAGGTTCCATACTCCTGAGTAAATCATTGCTCGGAGGGGAGGGGACAACACGACACGGACGGACTAGGGATGAGAGGTTCAGCATGCAGGCTGCCCGGAATAGACAGGACTACCGCAGCTCCCTCTCATAGCACCACTTGGGGCCAGGTGAGAAGCGCCTCTCTATGGCGACTGCAGCTCCAGCGGGCACAGCTGGGGGAGGGGGATGTGTCTCCTGGCTGGGGCAGATCCAGGATCACCTACCCTCTGTACTCCCCAGCCAGAGTAAGAAATGGAGCAAACTATGCACTTTCCCCTTGCTTCTGGATGAATGTTGCTGTGCAAATCGGGGGAAGGAGGGAGTGGCAACCCCTTCCCAACACCTAAAGGGTGCATAGTGGTGGAAAGTTGAGGGCTTAGGCAGTCCCAGATGGGGAGCTTTCACCTGTCAGGTGATTGTCTCTTTTCTGTATGGTTTTACGCTTCTCCATAGGAATTGGAGGGGAAGGTTCAACACCTCCTCCCCCCTGCATAACCTTGCTTTAAGTTATGATAGGAACATAAAAACGGACATACTGGGTCAGACCAAAGGTCCATCTAGCCCAGTATCCTGTCTTCCAGTGGCCAATGCGACATGCTCCAGAGGGAGTGAACAGAACAAGTAATCATCACATGATCCCTCTACTGTCATCCATTTCCAGCCTCTGACAAAAAGAAGTTAGGGACACCATTACTAACATCCTGGCTAAAAGGAAGCTGCGTACCAAATTTGGTGGTCTTAGCTCTTACCATTTAGGAGGCATTCTTGAACAAACAAATGGACAAATAGGCTCACCCGCTTGCTCACAGACAAACTCTCTCAAATATATAAATGCTTGGTAGAGATCCTGAAGTTTCTGGTCTCTGTCAGTGGGATTAAAGCAGATGCGGTAGTATTGAAGGGCTTGGCTATAGATGATGGATCGTATGGTGTGTGCTGGATGGGAGCTGGAAGCATGTAGCTGGAAGAGACCTCAGGAGGTCATCAAGTCCAGCCCCCTGCCCAAAGCAGGACCAATCCAACAAAATCAACCCAGCCAGGGCTTTGTCAAGCCAAGACTTAAAAACCTCTCGGGATGGAGATTCCACCACCTTCCTAGGTAACCCATTCCAGTGCTTCACCACCCTCCTAGTGAAATAGTGTTTCCTAATATCCAACCTAGACCTCCCCCACTGTAACCTGAACTATGTTACTTCATAGATGTAATAAGGAGGGAAAGTCTCCAAACTCTACATCCCATAATTGTGACTACTATGGCAAAAGGGATGGGGGAAGGAGAAGAGTATCTCCTCCATTCTAAAGTTCTCTTTAACAATAGGTTCCTGAGGTGGCTGTTGCTGACAGCTCTTCAAAGTAAAAACTACAAAAACTGAAACCAAAAGCTTAGGAAAATGTATTGTTGATTTCTACCAGCTGTTTCTTGAGAAACTGCTACACAGAAGCAGACATAGAAGATTTCTTTGTCTCCAGATCAGAATAACCAGATAACAAGCAGGTAAAATCAGGATTGTTCCCCCCCCCGTGTGTGTGTGTGTGTGTAATTGCATATCTAAGACAAAGCCCCTGCTATGAGGTTCCAATACTGACATCCTACTGCAGTCAGGAAAATAGAAGTCCTCCTAACTAGGGGCCAAACATACACTAATAGTTTCCGTCACAGCCACAAGTCCTAAAGACTTATTTGTGTGTGGAGGGAGGGATGAGGTTTATTAAATTTAGGGTGTGTCTAGACTACCTAGTTTTGTCGACAAAAGTGGACTTTTGTCGACAAAACTATACCAGCGTCTACACTACCGCTGAGTTCTGTCGTCAGTCATAGACAGCACTGTTCTCAACCTCATCTTGAGTTGCAATTCTTATGTTATCTTTCACTTCTTTTTCAAGGGCTTGAAAAATCCATCCATCTTTCATGAGTGAAGGGATTTACACTTTCCATTCCTGCAGACAATGTGCTTTCACTTTGGGTACATCTAGACTACCGCGTTTTGTCGACGGAAGTTTTGTCGACAGTATCTGTCGACAAAACTTCCGTCGACAAAACGCGGTAGTCTAGATGTACCCAAAGTGAAAGCACATTGTCTGCAGGAATGGAAAGTGTAAATCCCTTCACTCATGAAAGATGGATGGATTTTTCAAGCCCTTGAAAAAGAAGTGAAAGATAACATAAGAATTGCAACTCAAGATGAGGTTGAGAACAGTGCTGTCTATGACTGATGCAGATTAAAATCGTTAGTGCATTCCAGCCTCACTCCCAACCCTTGACCACGAGTGCAGCAACACAGTCTCTGGGTCAATATTAGTGTATCCCCCCTAAGGGTATGCCTGTAGGTTCAGAAGAGCAGCTTACAACCCTTGTGGAGAACTCTCTGCCAGAGATGGTTATGAAGGCCAAGACTGTAACAGGGTTCAAGAAAGAACTAGATACATTCATGGAGGACAGGTCCATCAATGGCCACTAGCCAGGAATGATGACACCACCCCTCTGTCCCTTGCTCCCCATGTGCCCACCCCTGTGCCCCCTGCTGCCCCCTCTCCCCTGTGACACACAACCCTTGTGGAGAACTCTCTGCCAGAGATGGTTATGAAGGCCAAGACTGTAACAGGGTTCAAGAAAGAACTAGATACATTCATGGAGGACAGGTCCATCAATGGCCACTAGCCAGGAATGATGACACCACCCCTCTGTCCCTTGCTCCCCATGTGCCCACCCCTGTGCCCCCTGCTGCCCCCTCTCCCCTGTGACACCACCCCTCTGCCCCCACCTCTGTCCCTTGCTCCCCATGTCCCCTGCCACCACCCCTCTATCTCCTGCTGCCCCATGCTCCCATCACGCCCCCCC